CTTGAAGTGTGACTTTGCTTTTCCTGTAGATTGAGCTACTATCTGTCAAAGAAATAATCTAACTAACCGACACATGTAAAAGATAATGAATAAAGTTACTTTAAACATATAGAGGCTTGAACCAATCAAACCGCTGTAAAACTATGTGCAGACTTGTATTACAGGGAGAGCAGACTTGGTAGCAGTGGTGCTGAGCGTGTTCCCAGCGCACAGTCTCTCCTCCCGTCGACCTACCTGCCTGTTGTGCTCGCTGAATTAAACATCAAAGCACAGTGTAGGACCCAACAGCCATAAATTTGAGCGTGCAGGGCCAGGGGAGGGAGGATGCCCACTGTGTTCTGATGGGAAGAGAACAGGTCACCCGATCACTCATACACACACTGTCAAAGCACATTCATTTGTTCACAAAATGGCTGATGTTGTGTGGACGTATTGATTTCTGTGTGCCATCTGTCTTTTCTGAGGCTTTGGCAGGAGCAGCTCTGGTATATACCAACATCAGCTTCATCTACAACAGCGGAGGAAGTGCGTCACAGCCAGTCATCTCTAGAATGTATTTTGCAGAGGAAATTGGTAAATGTTAGAGTGAGACCAAATACACACATTATTTATTCATTCTTCTTCTTTGCGTCTATTTTTGTCCACCAGTGCCAGACACATTTGAAAATACATGTGTTTAAGAATAGGATTGTATTGTCTTTTCACAAGGAGTACTAATCTGAAGAATAGTACATTCAAGATTTGTATAAATGATTTATTTTGTCTCAAGATAAGCACAAATTTCCTGCAACTGTAGATCATTTTTGGCTTTTAATTATTACTGAATATTGAGATAATAGTAAACATATTGCATTTATTTATACTGTTATTTTTATCCTTTGAAACTTAAATTTCAGATAAATAAAATGTGCTTGTTATTTGACTTCAATATTTTAAGGCGACCCTTTGAATATTATTATTTCATTTAAAAATATCTTTGCAATTCACAGCAATGAGAAATACATGCTACACCATTCAAAACATAACTTGAAATCTATTCCAATTCTAACAAATACCTGTGCTCTGCTTCTTCCCCTAAAATATTCAGGGAGATTCAGCTGGTTTGGGCTCATCAGTGGTAGTGATGCTTTTCAGAAATCTGTTCTGGAGGCGTTAATTAACATCTCATTTGTCACAGACACCTGCATACACAAGTCCGTCTCCTCCCCTCACTAAGTCGTGCTCAAGTCGCAGCGTACCTCGATGTGTGAGAGGGGCAGGCCTCCAGCACCAGGCCCAGCTGCTGCAGAGAGGATGTGTGTCAGTCTGCCCCTTCCACATGGGCATCCCTGGCTGTTTGAGCAGGAGCAGGGAACATGTTTGTGGTTAAGTTATCACAGCAGTGGTAAACAGACTTCTTTATTGCTGTGCGTAGTGTGGATGCTATATTTAAAGGCCGCTGCTGTTAGGACAGATTGAAGATGTTTGCGTGCGGTGTCCCCGGCTCCACCCACGTGTGCCACAAACTAGGATGGGTTTACCGCCACTGATTCATACGAGAGTCGGAATTGTATGGATAATTTGTCGTGGAGATGCGGCGAGTGCACGACGGACTAAACAGTGTGTTTCTGCACTGCAAAAAGTGATGAAAAATAAATACAAAATTGCTCAAATGTGTTTCTTTTACCACATTTTGACTGCCTTAAAACAACATTTGCCAATGGAAAAAGCAACATTTTATTGTTTTTAAAAAGATGCAAGAAATGTCTCCCTTAGAATGAAAAAAATGCAGCATTTCTTGAAGTAGGAGCAGTGGCTTTGTCCCGTTGGTAAATCTTGTTTTCAGACGGTCCGAATGAACTAAAATTAAGATACAAAAATACTCGATTTAAGCCATTATTACTGTGCCTCATACTGTATTTTATCACCTTTTTTGCTGTGTATGCATTTCTGTGGAAGTATGTTGGTTAGATGAAAGAACAGAGGAGGCGATTGTGCTTCGATGTGTTGCAAGACTGTTTCACTCAATCATGTTCGCACAAGACACAATCACTGGAAACATTAGCTCAAAAAAGTCTTGTTGCTTAACTCGATACAATGCAAGATTCTTCATGTATTTTTGTGTGTGTGAATTTCAGCTCAGCCAAGTTTGCTGAATTGAGACTCTTATAAACATACACTAAAACATTTTTATTGGCAAGAATTTTAATAGACTTCCTTGTAAAATGGCATAATTATCATGCACTTGTAAATGATGTGAATTTAGTGGGTGTGCCAGTTGTACAGTTTTACAATGGAACGTTGTCATTATCGAATAGGGTGAATTAAGGTAATATTTGATTTAAAACATCAAATTACAGAGTTGAGACTAATCTGTTGTGAAGCTTATACTTAACGCTATTGTGATAATATTAGAAAACAAGACCAGGCTGCTTCTACCAACCACACCCCTGTAGTAGTTTACAGAAAACTATGGGAAGATCTTTCTGATTGGTCTACGCCTACGTTTCCGTAACAATCAACACATTTAAATGTTAATCGGAGAACACATTATACATACACATTATTAATACACATGCACGGAGGTTTTCAGAATAATTTGTTGACGTTTTTATGACAAAAATTATGTTTTAATGCACAAAAAAAGCGATCGCGGTAAACCCAGAAGAAGCTATTATCATGAATTGCACATTATAGGACACATCTGCAGAGGATCTGATTATGGATATAGGTTCAGTATATAAATGGGTAACTCAGCGCGGATGTTCAGTTTTTATGTAGTTCCAGAGCCTAACGGAGGCTTGATTCGGAGGCTCCGTGAAAACAAACAACTGAGCATGCGCGCAGCTACGAGCACGAGCGCCGATGATTGACAGCCCTTGGCATCACTTGATTGGTTAAACTGGACGGCACCGTGGATTTTGAGCTATAGCTAAGAGAAGGGAAGACGAGACTTACCCGTAAATTTGAATTCATAAAATGACTTATTTTCTATCAACATTTAAGGCCAGGAGGTCTATTTAATACAATTCTTAAAAATTGTAATTCATTTAGAGATCCAGACTACCACTTTAACACATTGTGACAGAAATGAAGGATAAAATAAAGTATGGTAGAGGCTAAAATAAAAATGTCTATGTCAAAATCTCAAATTCTCCTGTTTGTGTGATGGGGGTTGGAAAAGAGATCATACACAGCACTGTCCCCTGTCCCTGTTTTGTGCACTATTATAAATAGTCCTTTTATACGGCACCTTGGCGTTGCCTCGTTTCACTGATGACTCTTTATTACCTCTGATAGAAATTGCCAAACAGACTAAAGGTGAGAAAAATGACACTGACATGTATTTCTCTTTTTTGAAGGAGAACCACAATTACCCACTAATGTGCGATGAAACCAGAAAAATGGACAGTCGTTACGCGCCGAGACGAGCCGCAATGGCCAAATCATTCTTTCTCAGCCGCACAATCCTCTGCTCCAAGAATAATCACTCCTGTATCCCTAAACACCTGCGCTTCACTCGCCCCGACCTGCCGCCCCAAAATGAGTGCAATTAATGACAATTACGCCCCGGGTGTCAGGCCGCACTGATCGAAATCTATACGGAGGCCGGGACGTGTGCTGGCCAGGTAAATATGTGATTAAACAGCTGTAACACTGTGGGGTGGAGGGGCAGGCTAAAACACTACCACGCCATTTATTTGTGTTTGGCGGAGCTAGCAGCCACATTAAACAGGCTGGACAAATCAGGACGAATGCACGCGGGTTCTGCCTTCAGGCTATGCACACACTAAAGGCGCGCTCCGGATCATCATCAAGTGGAGATTAAGGGGGGATTTACACCAATATTATTTCCATGTCAGATATTGAATGTTGTAATGTGATATCCCTCTGCTCTATTGTAAAACTGGAATGTGTTTTGCATGGAGTACGCTGTTCCGTTTTATCTCATCTTTTTTCAAGAGGCCAAACAGGTGCTAACGCCCTGAGTGTTTATGTTTGAATTATTGTTTAACAAAAATCTCTGAATACTTTTCCTGCAAATGTGATTATGTAAATACGTATTTGTGCGTGATTTGTCAGTGTAATTAATGAACTCCAAGTGGTATAATTTTTTTCGTTTCCTTAAAAAGTGGCGGTTTGGCCACACTGCTGCAGGTGTGATGCTGTTGTGCCTTTGGGCAAGATACACGAGTGCCAGTAAAATACATCTTTGTAGTGCATGTTGTACACCATCAAATAGTCATAAGAACATGTAAGAAAAAACATGTTTCACGGCACATAAATTGAGAAGTGATTGTGAAAAATGCCTCCAGATGAAGACTGTATTAGGTGTAGGGTTAAACTGGCCTCTCCCTCTGAAGCCTCATTAGCATAAAGGCATTAGAATGTGAATAGGAATTAATTTGGACTTTCCCCTCCATAGAAATTAATGGAAGTTTGTTCTGCCTGTACCCCTCAGAAGCCGCTCCTCCACAGTCCATAAATATTAATATTAATACATTGGCGCATTTAAAGTTAGCGCTTGGCTGCGGCCGTATACTGAATATTATTAGAGATCACGATTTCTCATGAGGAGCACAGCTGAGTGAATGCATTGCCTTGCCGTTGTGATCTGTAAAATCCAATCTTCATACAGCACAAAAAGTTATTTTCAGAAAGACGCGAGATTAGCAGGACCCAATGGCTGCAGTCTAAAGCTATTAGGTAGGTGAAGATTTTTTTTCCTTTTCAAGGCCCGATGCTTGGATTCACGTCATACTATTATCATGCTTGAGTAGATCATCTCGGCAGATAGCCATTATCCCTACGTCAACGCTTTGCTAGCATCTCTGCTCACACAGATAATACAGACCGCACAAGTTTTGACACTCACCAAATGACGAGATTCACTCGCTTTCACGTCTCTGAAGGCTTTGTGGCTCCTCTGTGTGTGGCTTGTGGTCATATCACTCATCTTCAATGGCACACTACCACAACAGCAGCGACACCAACTTGGGCTTGTAGCAGTGAAGACTTGCCTTGGAAAATAGAAATACAAATCAACTTAAAAATGTATGACTATTGATGTTTGTTCTTGTGTGTGGTTTGGTTGTGATTATGAAAACTGGTGGTCCATTCTATACAAGTGCATTCTAAAGGTTGTATGGTTTACAAGCCTAAGCTGATCCTTATGCTCTTATGAAAATATTTTTTAATCGAATGGCATCTTAAATGAATGTGTCCCAATTCAATGTAACACATTATGTGCAGATTATATATTGTTGTAGTTTGAGAAATACATTTGCAGGAGAAAAAAAATAGCAGAAATATATTGTTTACCATGCATTACCTAGAAAAACAAACATGTCTCTCTGCTGCTCTCTGATGGTACTTGGTTCCAAAGGAATCTGGAAGTTCATTTGTTTTGTCTTCTTTTTTAAAACAATAGAGATTTAAAATGTTCCAGGTGTAAAAGAGAAAGCTCCAACCATACCATGTAGCCAACCCCTATATCATATAGGCTGGGAACCTTTTGAGCTGAGCCAGCCAAAAAGTATCAAACTTAAAAATGTATTACTGTGGGGGCCATACACTTAAAAATAATATATTTTACATTTTCAAGACAATATCACACAATATCAACACATTTAGAGTCAGATATTAGTCTCAAAGTGTATTCTTTTGTGCAACATGTTAATACTGAAGAAATCCAATACAATACACATACCATTAATGCCAGACACCATCATCAAGAGAGCCACATCTGGTTCCTGACCCCTGCCCTTCCAAACAGATCAGAATGCCATCATTGGTGAATACTATTTATGAGAAATGTTGTTAAAATATAATGTTATTCCTAGACATATCTTTCATGGTATTTTGAAATGCTTTCTTATAGTGCTCTTTCCGACACTTGCATCAGCTGGACTGTACATGACTTTGGGCAAACCGTTTGGCAGTCTGAACTAACCACAGCCAGGGAGCAGTATTAGTCGGGCGCCCCTCTCCCCCCGCTGCCTCCATAGGTGTGCCGATCCTGACAAGTTGATAAGGTGAAAGACGAACGCTGAAGTGAACCACAGCTGGCTTCAAAGTTCAAGTGTGTGGGTGTATACAGCACGTCACCGCACCAGCGCTACCCGCCTACCTGCCTCTGCCACTTCAGTCAACAGTGCCGTCTTTAATCCTGTGCCTTAATCTTTACACACCTCACATTTAGTCAATACACTTCCACTTTGTTCTGAAGAGTGGAGTGCGGAACCGCAAGTGTGTGAGGAAAACGTAGGACACAAAACAGAGACACACCTGTTATGGGCAGTGGTATATGTCCCAAAACAAACAGTAAAACCACACTCGTGAGCAAAAACTATATATTTTTTTAACTGATACTAACTTCATTATTTATTCATTTTAAAACAGATATTACAAAAAACATGTATGTCACATTATTGCAAATTTGGATATATTTCTTTGCACATTTTCTTTCAACTGCAACACTGTGAACAGTGAGTCTACAACATGATAATAACATTAGTACCGCTTTGAAAACAGTTAACAGCCACTTTTACAGAGATTCTCCAGGGCCAGGGGTTGATTAACTGAATTAGCTACTCCTCTGCTGCTGTCTTCTTTTCTTCTTTTTTTTTTCATAAAGTAAAACAAACATACACACAGGTCTAGGACAACAAACAAATCAACTATATAAACAAATTGCTAAACAAATTAATTAAAAGTAATTTTGTTGTTGTATTGCTGCATTGTTTGATGCAAGATCCACTGTCAGCCCCATACAGTAAGAATCTTCTGTTTAGTCGTGTTAGGTCTGAGGGACCAGAGCTCTCCCCGCACCAGGTACGACAGAAGGAAGATCAGTGCTCCAGTCACAGGTCAAAGGTCACAGGTGAAGTTGACATCCCAGCTCTTGATCCCAGCTCTAAAATCAATAGTACATATGTTTGTTTACAAATATGAAAATACATCTTTGAAATTACTAATTTTGATTCACATGTATGGGGTAGGGTTACTGTCAATAAAGACGTGCATGTCTAAAAAAAATGCGTGCATATTTATTGGTATTTGTGCATAAAAATATTTTATTAATTCATGACTAAGATAATACAAACTAAAAAGATATAATATAATAATATAAAACTGTATGTGTGATTTTGTTTTTGTGAATGCGATATTTTTTTGTGTGCTTGCATTTTCTTTTTGAGAATACAAATTTCAGCAGTGAGCAAACTGTCAATAATACGTCACTGCTCACAGACATTAACAATTGAGCCTGCGCAGAGTTGATCATGGCAGAGGGCAACAACATTAACAATTTGGCTCAAAATCAGGTAAATAACTATATTTGATAATTTTGGTCGTAAATAAATGTGTAAGAAATATTAATTCCATAAAATGTGTTCATAAGATGTTTCTTGTCCCTCTCTAGAAACGTTTTTTTAGGCAGTGTTTAGTTAACACTAGCTTCAATGCTAGTTTTACAGCTTACCATGTTATTTTAAAACCAACATTTTTACATTCTTAGCATTTACATTTGATGAGGCCTTGGCCCCTAATCAATGTGGTTAATATGTTGATACCAGCCCCAACCCTCCTGATTATTCATATTTTGCGCTGTTACTGCCCCTGAGTAATATGAAGAACACCTCCGTGCTTTACTCATCCTTGGTTGTTAGACGTAGCAGACCCTGTCCCTGTGGACCTCATTTTCTGGAGAATAAAACAATATAAGGATAAGAAAATAAAACTAGCATTGGAGCTAACAACACTGCCAAAAAACCTTTAGAGGGACAAGAAACATCTTCTTATGAACACATTTATGGAATTAATATTTCTTACACATTCATTTACGACCAAAATGATAAAATATAGTTATATCCCTGAGTTTGAGCCACGTTATTTATGTTGTGTCCCTCTGCCATGTTTAGTTTTGGGGCAATGAAGTTGAACAACTCTGCGCAGGCTCGATTGTTAATGTCTGAGCAGTGACGTAAACTTCGTATTATCAAAAAGAAAATGCAAGCACAATAAAAAAAATTGCATTCACAAAAACAAAATCACACATACAGTTTTATATTTTTTATTCTTAATTACGAAATTCCACGTCTTTTTAGTTTGTATTATCTTAATCATGAATTAATAAAATGTTTGTATGCACAAATACCAATAAATATGCACGCATTTTTTTTAGACATGCACGTCTTTATTGACAGTAACCTTACCCCATACACATGGACAATCTACAAACTTTTACAAGGGATGTGGCTGTAACGGGGACTGCCACAGTACTATGTTTTCATGGCGGTTCTTAATTGTGCAGTAAATCAAAGGATGAACGACAATCACTTGATTGTTGGTGTATGATGAAATCTGGTAGATGAGATTATACACATGATAGGTCTGCTATTTTAGAATCAATGGAGGTTTCTAAAGTTTTTCATATTATTGTTAAAATTTCTGACCACAAAGCATTGCTTGTAGATGCACTTCTCGTTGGCGCTTCAATAGTGCTTCACAATCTAACCATGCATTTAAACTTTTATCATTCAGGGCAACTCTGATTTGATGAAGCTCAACACAGTATGATTTAGTGAAGAAGGAAATCAATTACATTCTAAGACAAGACTGCTATATTTTTAAAACTTGGCTACCAAGCCATTTACTTGACGAGCAATTATCTGATACCTCCTCTGTTAATGAGTTTTGCTTTAACCAAAAGTATGTGTTTTATGTTTTATTAGTTAAAACGCTCGAGATACCACAAACATTAAGCTATCAGAAGACGTTCTGATGAAACTCAAACATTCCATTACACTAATCGATCTAAAAACATCTCTTGAAGCTAGTGGCATCCCACGTGAGTTCCATGACACTTTTAGGATCATCTTGATCCTTCTATCAACTCAGGGAGCCATAGGATCTTTCTCAAGAGGCGTAAATATTGGAATAAAAGGAATAGAAGGCCCTTGTTGCCTTGTTGTTTGTAGATTGTATGGATTAAAGGGTGTAATCTTTAAAATCTATTCAACTATTCTGCGACAGATGTAGTATATGAGACGAGAACATTTTAAATATGCCTGTGGACTTTGTCTTGGACAAGCACATTGTTTGGGAAAATCTACTTTGTTCCTCAAACAACCTGGACCATCAACTTTTCGACGGGTATCCTGTCAATATTTATTTGAGTTTTTTTTCTTTTTGCTGAGGTGTGCAGGTAACCATATTTTTTTGAAAAAAGAAAACAAAGAATAAAAGTTCAAGTAATTCAACAATAAATTCACCAACTTTGAGTAAAAAAGTCAAAAATGAAGTTATATGAAAAATAACTGTGCATGGATTACTAGAACCTGACCCTGGGCGCACAGTATGACAAGGGGTGAGGTGAATGAAGGACCCAAACGCAGGAATGCAAAAATAATGATTTGATAAAATAAAGTCCAAGGTGAAAACAAATCTCAAAACTCAAAAATTCAAAGGAACAGGAACAGGACGGAACTTGACGAGACAATGCAATGGACCAGCAACAAGAGGAGAGAAGCACAGGGTTCATATAGACCACATGTGTCAAAGTCAAGGCCCGCGGGCTAAATCCGGCCCGCGAATGAATTTGTCATGGCCCGTTGCCTGCCATTGACGCACTATTACGTCAATTGCGTTTTCCGCTATTTTCATGTTCCCAGATGTCTATTATATCTCATATGTATGGGGATAAGCTTGAGAGCATATTGAATCGAGCCAGCAGGTGGCAGCAGTGCTCTCTGAATGGTTTGAAAACAGCTAGATGCACTTGTTGTGCCTCTTTTTTCTCAACTTTTTGGTGATTTCAGTAAAACTTCCCTCTACTCAACTGGGGATTACAAGCTAGAAACAAAATTCTTTTTGCTGATGAAAGTAGACAGTCTATTCTTTCAGAATCTGGTTTCGGATTTCAGATAGTCATAGTACACAATATTCTGTGGGTCTTGAAAAATCTATAAAAATCATCAGAAACTGCTGGCAATATGGGAGTACCTGTTCTGAAATAGGC